ATGCCAAGAGCGCCGGTCTCAACGTTTTGATCTGACTCCATGACTCCCTTCGCTTTCTACCAACATCTGCATATCTTTCACCTCTTTAAGGATGATGTTTTCTCTGTGTCCGCATTGTGCTCTGGTCTCCTCGCTCGCTATCATTGCGAGAATAGCAAGCGCGGACTCTGGTGCCAATGGCACCTGGCTGTATCCAGATCCTAGCACAACCCCCACTTTTAACTACCTCGACACATTGAACGCCTCCTGGACGTCGGACTTTTCCACACCATGGCTCCATCTCTACTGCGGTGTCATCAATGGCAATTCTTCTTCTCCAGTGCTAGGCGAACGTATGAGCCACTCCTGTTTCCTTTTTGCCCCAACATTCGAGACCTAACACCCACATAACAGTGTATAATCAAACAGCGCCTGCAACAGGTAGTCTGGACTTCCCCCTCAACTATGCGCTCGACCCGTTCAGCTGCCACTTTGAGCTCTCCCGCCAGCCAGCCGTAGGGTTGGGACCTCCGTACGCCCTGAGTGGAACTTTCAATGTCGCCGTTGAAAGCAACGCTAAGCCTGTGACTTGGAGCCAGAACACCGGAATTTCATCGACTGCGGATACCGGTCCGAGCGCCAGCACGAATCCACCATCGACAGCATCCTCCACAACTTCTCCCAAATCTACAGCCGGTGCAGAAGCTAGCGGGAGCAATGGCCTCAGTCAAGGCGCAAAGATAGGCCTGGGGGTTGGAGTGGCACTGGGAGTTCTGGCCTTGATCGCCGCTGCTGCTGGCTTCTTCATGCTCCGACGGCGGAGAAATTCAAGTACAAGACGAACGGAGAATGGCATATCTCATCGAGGCGATCAGAATCTTGCTACGCCTCATCCAAACGCCCCGGGATATGCTACAAGTAAACCGGGGTGGTCGGAGATGCCGGGTGATGCGAAGGTGCATGAAAAGGATAGCGTTCCGGTGCCAAGGCAGACAATAGGGGAGCTGGAGGCACCGAGATACTAGTGCTGGAATTACTGGCTCCGTAGGCTTCCTTCATGAACCGAAGCCCGGTTGCCGGCGCACCTACAATCATGAGCCAATTGATAAGGCGGTATCCTGAGCCATTGACTTTGCCCGGATGAGAGCGCAAGGCATTCCGTAGAGGAAGGTCTTGTCTGGGTATGTGGTCTGGAGTCAGACTTTACGACGCTATCTTGAGAAATTATTCTTTTGTTGTCTACAGTTCAGCGACCATGAACAATTTGGCGAGGAGCAGGGCGGCGTGTCATTGATTCCTCTGTGAATGAACGTTCTATCCGTTCTTTCAATGTAATTATATAGGGGTAATGACTGCAAAGGCAGCTCAAATCTGTGTTTGGGGTCGGTATCTATTTGTATCATAAATAACACATTATCCAAAAGACCTCTATCACACCGACGCTTTTCCTCCCTCCCCAGCCTCGCCCTCTCAACGCCCGAGGTGCGCTTAAGCCCTCTCGACGGTGCGATGGAGATCCTCATCCACAAGCCGCCCGACCAGAACCGCACCCTAGCGCATCACCGGCCCCCTCCCCTCCTTATTCCACCTCACCCGGCTCCGAACCCACTCCACCGCCTCCCTCACCCCCTCCCCCTTCAGCGCACTGACCGGCAGCACCCTACTGTCCCTCACCCCACCGCCCCTCTCGCCCTCAAACACCCTCCGCACGAGCCCCTCCTTGATCCGCACCGTCTCCACGCAGTCCTCCCGATCCTGCTTGTTCGCCAGCACCAGCAGCGGGATCGACGCCGTGCTCGGATGCGACAGCACCGACTCGAGCGTCCGCCGGCACTCCTCCAGCCGCCCGACCGGTCCCGCCCCCTCGCCGCCGCCGCCGCCGAGGTCGTCGCCGATGTCGCAGCCGTCGACGACGAAGACGATGGCGTGGCAGACGGAGTAGTAGCTCGTCCACATGGAGCGCAGGGCGTGCTGGCCGCCCACGTCCCAGATCTTGAGGTACATGTCGTCGAGGGAGACGGTGGCGACGTTTTGGCCGACGGTGGGGACGGTGGGTTTGGCGGGCGCCGGGGTGTCGTTGTAGAGGGATTTGATGGTGGAGAGGAGGGTGGTTTTGCCGGCGTTGTCGAGGCCGAGGAGCAGGATGGAGTACTCTGAACGCGTCCTGTGAGCGGGGATGATGGTAAGGGAAGACGAGGGGTTCCAGTGGAATTGATTGCGCTGAGGAGGGAAGGAGGGGGGGATACATACCTTCTTTAGACGTGGCCCAAAAGTACACGCTTTTGGCTAGGTGGTACATCCTGGTTGGGAAATGTGGTTATGGAAGATCTGCGCAGGGGCAGCTGCTCAAGGCACGGTAGATAGAGAGGCAGCATGCCTCAATTATCATCGTGAAAACATGTTGACGACTTGAAGGGCATGCGTATCTGAACAGGGTTTGCGTATCTGAACAGGGCTACAGTAGGCCCGAAGTCAGCCGGAAGATGTGTAGGGCTGAATCCGAGAAGCTCAAGACCAGTCTTTTCTTTCTCAGCGCCGGTCAGAGTTACATCGGTATGTTTATCTCTCTACCAACGTAACATCGGTCTGATCGCGTAATGGGAGACTCAACTGTCGGCTGCGGAGGACGGCCGGGGAGCCTTGAGGCAGGTAAAGACGAGTGGCGTACTTCTACTCGTCACGAATCTGTATCCGCCCTGATCTACTCCGTCTCTCTGCTTTGTTAGATTTGGGGCACATAGAAAGCATAGAAATCGCTTCTCTACCGGTTCTGTCTCTTTGCTTTCCACTTTCCTTATATCTACGTCTTCGTAAGCAGAGTCGATTCGCAAATTTCCCATAAAGCAAAAATGAGCGTCCAAGCTCGCATCGATGCTGTTGAGAAAGAGCTCCAAGCTTTATCAAAAGATGTAGCCAACGATGAACCAGCACGCCAGAGACTTGTTGGTGTGACTCAGCAAGCGACAGCTATGCTCGAGACCGCTTCCGAGACTATTTGGAAGCTCCTCTTGCAGGTACATCCCTTCATGTCTCGAACCTTACATTGAGCACAAGTTACTCATTATTCTACCAACGATAAGCCACATCTGAGTGCCTCTATCAGGACTGCCATTGAAATGGGTTTAATTGATGCTCTGAACAAGAGCGAAAGCCCCAGGACAGCCACCGAGCTGGCGAGTATCACTGGCGGTGACAAGCTGCTTATTGGTAATATTTCAATGTTGTCCTGGATTTTGGCAGCTCATTTTCTCCAGTCCGCATCCTGAGGCCATTGGCTGCCACGCATATGGTCATCGAGACTGGATATGAGACTTACGTAGCCGGGGCCGTCTCCAAAGCATTGGCCATTCCCGCGCTATCGGGAGGCTTCAAATTCCTGTCAGTCTTGCACCCATCCAAACTTCTGTACAGGAGCTGAGTTTGTCCTGCAGGCACGATGAAGGGGCCCTCTGCTGCAATAAGATGCCCGAGTTCCTCGCTCAGACTGATTACAAGAATCCCGAAGGTCCTATGGGCGTTTTCCAACACGCTGAAAACACTGAGCTACAATTCTTCCCATGGTTGATGCAGAATCCTGCAAAGATCAACAACTTTCTTACGATGCTGGAGGGTTGGCGTGCTGGCAGGGCTCAGTGGTTCGAGATATTTCCCATTGAAGACTCGCTCTTTAAAGGAGCCAAAGAAGAGTATCATGATTCTGCCCTGCTTGTGGACGTCGCTGGTGGCTTTGGATACGACATCCAGACCTTCAAAGATCGCTTCCCGAATCAGACCGGACGTCTTGTGCTACAGGACCAGCCTTCCATTATTGATAATGTCATAGAGCTCCATCCAGATATCGTTCGAATGAAGTATGACTTCTTTACTGAGCAGCCAGTCAAAGGTAAGCACTCGACTGGAGACTTTACGTTTATCATGAAAGCTGTACCCAGAGACTGAAGTCTACAGGAGCTCGAGCTTACTACTTTCGCTCCATCTGCCACGACTGGTCTGACGACAAATGTCGCGAGCTCCTTAGCAACACGGTCGCTGCCATGGAGCCAGGCTATTCCAAGATCCTGATCAATGACTGGGTCTTGCCCGATACCGGCAGTCCCCTCCTCCCGGCTCTCATGGACATCCAGATGATAATCGTGCTTTCTGGCATTGAACGTACGCAGACGCAGTGGAAGGAGCTGCTAGGATCTGTGGGTTTGGAGATTGTCAAATTCCACAGCCTCGGTAAGGAGGTCGAGGGTTTGATTGAGGCTGTAAGGAAGGTGTAGGCAATAGTGACATTGGGGCTGGGTGGAGACCACGCCTAGCATTATGATTTTCAAGCTCTTGTACGTCTGCGGTATTAGTCGCAGATTTACGAATCTGCCATCCGTGTCCCCTTGACGCTCCACAGATTTCAGAGCCTAGCCGGCTCCACTCCAAAGCGAACTCCTACTATCGAAACAAGCTTCATCTATCTCCAGGTAACATTTGATTGACCCCCAGTTTGGTCCCAAATTTTGTGTTTCATCCCATCAATCTCATCTCCCTCCTATCCCACGAATACTTCTATTGGTCGAGATCGGCCACTACCTAGCATAGGTTTAAGTCATCTCGAGAAATAGGAATCAGCGACCGCGCTACAAAGCCAGAAGTGGCCATCGAGACGGCTGACAACTCACTCTTCGCCACTCTGTTGCGAGATTTAAGATCATTGGGCGGTGAAGTGTATCTTCATCGTCACATTAACGAATGTTCTAGGTTGTGTGGTCTACGACAAGCTTGCCGTCCGTCTACGGGTAAAGGACCAATGGCCAAAAGAGTCACCAAAAGGTCGTAGGAGACGTCCTATGACGCTACGCTGACCCAATCGATCCCGACTCTCCTGATTTGGCACAAGGATTCGATACTCGAGAATTGATACCGTTGGGCTCGACAGAAACAGGTTCGATCGATGGAGCGGTTCTCGGCCGTGAGAGCAGCAGCCTTGCTGAACTACACCGCTTCCGTGACGGAACGCGACTGAGTTACCGGCTTCCTGACAACTACCGAGGGGAGGAACCAACGATCTGGTTTTCAAAACGTCCGACGCAGATGTCGGAGGCAAGCGATCCTACTCGAATCTGAATCCCTGATGGTAGCAATACTGGAACGACTGAATCACCAGATGCTGCATTCGAAAGGTATACATTTTTACATTGAGAAGAAAGACAGTCCTACACAAACGCCAAATAATTCCGGCCCTCCCATACCGAACGGAACGCCCTCAACGCCACGCTTTCATATGTACATCACTGACGACGTGCACGCAACATGTACCTCTCGCCGTACCCAAAGATCAGAATCCAAACACCTGTTGCAATCATCACCCCCCTCTCTTACCTACTCCATCACGACCTCCTCCCCCTCAAACCCACACACACCGCCACCACCACCACCACCGCAACCACCATCGAAATCCCCAAAGCCACCACCGCCCTCTTCCAATAAAGCCGCTCCACCTCCCCCTCCTCCACCGGCGGATACAGCCTAAAGACACTTCTCTTCCCAGGCTCCCCCTTCGCCCCCTCCCGACCAGCTTCCAGATCCACCCGCATCGAAAGATCCGTCCAGCTCTCCTTGAAGTGGCCCGCATGCTGCTGCTCCACTTTGCCCGCGGACGGCCGTCGGGGCGAGCTGGGGAAGCCCAGGGCGGCGGGGTCCGGGTCGGGTAGGTGGTGCGAGAGGCGTTGTTGCGAGTAGACCGAGGGGGAGTATTCCGGGGGTGGGATTTGTTGCGTTGATGGTGCTGGTGCGGGTGACGGGGGGAGCGGGATTGATTCGGGGCGGAAGGTGGAGATGCGGTTCAGGGGCGCGATGTAAGCGGGTGGTGCGGTGTCTTCGGTCGCGGTTTGGTAGGTTGGCGGGATGTTGAGGCGGGCGGCGAGGCCGGGGGGAAGGGGGAAGATTGCCATGGTGGGTTTGAGAAGAGTGGGGGCGAGGGTAGGTAATTCAATGTTGAGTTGTGACGGGGAAAGCTTCTAGCGAGCGTTGAGGATATCAAAATTTATGGATTGCAATGCGAAGAATATCTGGAGAAGGAAATCAGGCGTAAGCATGACAGGTATATAACAGAATGACGGATGTAGAGTCAGCAATGAATACGGTAAAATTAATATCGCTCAACATAAGCCTCACTATTGATAGTCATCGTTCTCCTGGGTGTTTCGAGCTTCGGCTAAGCCACCACTCACGATCCTTTGCCCCAAATATCTCAGCCCTAGGATTCTCAGCCTGGAATCCTTTAGCTTGAAACAAAGCCCTTGTGCAGCATTGCGGTAGTACTTGGCGCAATCAAAGTCCAGAACGCTGCTTGTTGTGAAAAAGAGGTCTATATCCATATCGTATTGGAATTGAAGTGTCGCGACTGCGGTCTATCAACACATGAAGAATTATCGCGACGGTCCACAGATGGTCGCGGAAGGCCTGACTTCGGCAATGAGTCTCCCAATGCTTCCTCTTTTGTCGTCGACTCGGCGTGGATTCGATGAAGCTATTATGGGTGGTCGGGAGTAAAGAAATGATCTATTTTAGGATGGTGGATTCGAGAAATCTTCGTTGCAGTTCTCGAGAGAAAAAAGGCGGGATGACCAGCTTGTGGGGTTCCTTCGACAAGGTCAGAGTCTTCGAATGTAGGTTCTGTCGTGTTGCAGCACCCGAAACCCGTTTCGATTCCTCTCACTGATCCAGATGACCAACGACCTCAATGATCACCACCACGATGAATATCGCAATGAGCAAACAAGCCAACAGCATAAAGCAAGCTAGCGTTCTGTTTCTTCGTTCGCCAAGGCGAGCTCGTCGGATAGTACGCTCGACATTGAAGAGAGCGGCTTCGGACTGTCCAGGCCATGGCACAGATGGCCTGGGTGGTGAGTACACTGGTAAAGAAGCGTCGGAATCTGTGGGTTGTGCCTCTAGTACAGTCGCTTCGACGTAGCCAGGTGGTTTGGCTCCTAGTATGTGTGTTGGGCTAGGGTAGACAGGGCTGGAGGTTGGGGAGGTCATCGTTGAGACGTCGAGGTGTTGATTGGATGGTGGAGGGCCGACTTTGGCGTTGGACACGCTGGCAACGCAGAGACAGAGATCAACTGAACGATGTGTGAAGCTCATGAAAGGATTCGTACTTGACATTAGACGTCGCACACTTCCTACAACAGCACATAGACCCCATAATCTATACTGGCCAACTCAACAACGTCTTGAGCCAGCGCCTATCGAGAATGGAGGGTAGCATCCGCAGCAAGGCTTTTCGGGAGCAGTTTTGCGACCTCGTGGGTAGACCTTGCTGCGCCACAATCACAACCACAACCGTTCGAGAAAGTCATCGAATCAGAATCCTGCAATCTAGAAGCCTGAGTATAACATCAAGGCAGTGAGAAACCTAGGATAGATAGGCTGACTGTAGCCTTGTCCAAACGTGCGTGCCAGAATTTCAACGGCTTTCATTGTGCGGCCTCCACGTGCCAGTGCGCGAATTGTACAGCGACATTCTCGTCGCTTATGCGCCCACCCCACTCGTGGCTTGTATTCTATAGCCGAGCCCGCTGCGGCTTAGCTCTTGTGTATTCAGCTCATACTTCTGCTGCGCATCGGAAGTCCCACCGATGTGGCTCTCAGCGATAGGCCTCGTCCGTCCATAGCTGGCAACACACCAGAAATGCTCTTGCTGAAAAAGGATGCTCGCTCGCAGTGAATGTCTGGATGCGGTCGTATCTGGAACAGCTTCTTTCATGTCGTTGTGGCATATTACCCATAGTCTATTCAATGACCCAAGGCTGATCGTTCACCTCCTCTTCGGTCGGGCGTTTCCGTCTTCCAAACAGTCTAGCAAGACCACCCTTTGACGGTTCATATACTTTCTCAATTTCAGTCGTCGGACGGCTGTTAGTTAATCCTTCCCTGCGATCCAAACCTAACGCGACTGCAGGATGCAGCAGGGCGTAGAACGGTATGTACCACTCAGACGGCTCTGGACTCTCGTGCTTCGGACGGAAGACCTCGAATCTTTGACCGCGCTGCTTCCAGGCTTGCTTGCGGTCACGTTTCATTGCGCGTACAATATACTTTTTCTTGTTGTCGTATACCCGGCCAAAGCCTTGAGCCAAGCTGTTGATGTTAAACATGATGAAATAGGTCACTAACGCGACTATTATTACAACGTATATGAGTGCTGTCATGGAGAACTGATCGTTGACGCTCCAAAGAGACTAAAGCTTTATCAGTACGAAAACGGCTCGTATCTTCTGCACGCCTTGACGTGTACTTCGTGGCCCAGAGTCCGACTTTGTGATCAATATGGAGCAGGCACGAATTGAGAAAGACAGACTTACGGTGGTGAATGCAAGCGGAAGAAAGAAGATGCTGACGAATGTGAGCAGCTTGACATTCTCACCCAGCCTTGTTGACGCCCTACTTTCGATTACAGCGCTAGCGTTAAACAGCTTGGTACTTGTTAGCTTCAGCCCCATATATAGAGCTAAGGTACATACAGCGTCCCTCAAGGCTTTCGTCGATGCAAGCTTTTGCCTAAACGATTCCCGTTGGTTCTGCAAAACGCGGTACTGCCTTTCCGCAAAAGCTAATTGACGCTGGTCATGCTCGGGCAGATCTTTCACCCAAGGTAGTCGAGCAGCCTTATACAGCTCCCATTGGGTGATGTTGTCCGTGATACTGAGTTCGAACTCGGACAAGCAGTCGATGGCCCAGAAGTAACGTCTTGACCTCGAGAACGCGCCGTCATCGAATAGTAGGTTGTCGTGCTCTGCTGGCTTCATAAGAGAGTCGCCACCATCAAGTATATAGTCAAAGTAGGATAGAAACTCCGCCCAACGATCAGTTATTCTCTCTAGTCCCTGACCAATAAGATTCAGCTCAGCGCCCGGCTGAGTGAGTCTACCCAGGGCGTAGCCTAAGGCTTGCGCTTTGCCAGGCGATGAAGGACCCATAGGAAAAGATGTATTTTTGTCGTTGAAGAAGCGATCTGGCGCAAGCACAAGCAAAGTCCAATATTGGTTGGTCTTGCTAAGAACATGATCAGGATGTTGTACCGCATCCACAGCCACTGGCGAGTATATCTGGTCAAGGTGGTTAGTCAGTGCTTCAATGACATTCGACATAGAAACATCAACTCACCGTGTAAGCGCATTTGCGGAAATGCCAGCCGAGAGGATGTCCGTATAGAGGACCATGCTTCCAAAACTCCTTGACCTGCCATTCTGTGACTTCACGTATTTCGTAAAAATTGGTGTGAAAACCGTTCCAAGCGTTTGCATAGGGATTCGTTGTGGTACCTCTCCGCTTGGTCTGCAAGTGGTAATCCAAGTGATCCCATAATCCCAGTATCTTGTCTGTGCTCGTAAAGTATGGTATAGGCTGTCGCGGGGCCCTCTTTTCGGTCGGGTAGATGCTTTCGCCAGTAGTAGCCCCTTGATACAATCTAGAACAAGTCAGCGAAAGCCACCGAGGGCGAAATCTTTGCGACCTACATCAACCTCGACCATGGCGCAATCTTTGAGCCTTGAGCTTCGACTTGTAGCTCTGATCCAAAAGCCTGTTCACCTAGCCTGTATAGTCTCGTGCCGTCCGCCGCGTCGAAATCAACCACCATGAAATCATTGCCTGGGTGGGCCCTCAGTTCATTGTCGAACTGACAAAGAAATTCAAGATCCCGCTCAAAAGGTTGTCTGGATGTAGGGTAGCTGTCTATCGGTACTCGGAAAGGACCACTGCTCTTCAGAATATTGGTTTTGAAAAATTTCAGGGGTAGACGGTCATCGTCGGGCATCTTCCAGCAGTCCCCGAGACGGGCTTCAAGTAAATTTGAAAGGGATAGGTTGAAGAAGCGGTCTAATTGGTTGATGCTCCATTGACTATAGGGAATTTTGAGCGCAGTGCTGATGTCTTCTGGCAAGTCATCGCTCGTAGGTGTCCCCTTCCTCGAAGACCGCAAGTTTTCGGCAGAGGTGTTGAATATCTCTGCAGTCCGAGAAGTCTCGCTTGAGGTATCGGCATTGCCACCGAGTCCTTCTGCTTTTCTCCCTCCATTGCTGGTCTGCGTGTGGTATTCCAAGCTCTTGAACCGATCTTCGTGCCCTTCCAGCTTCACTTCGATGCGCTGCAAGACATCCAAAATGTTGTAGAGAACGTCACTGGATCGTATTGGTTCCGTCATCATACAAGGGACTGGCCGACGCGGTCAGGCCAGGCTCCAGCTCGAGACGTTTCATACTTGACTTCTTATCATGCAGCTGGCAACAATAAACTATGTGCTACCGTGGTGACCCAGATAAAACTCCAGGCATGCTTTGCGCATCATTGCTGGTGCCGTCAGCATACGTGACACTGCGATACTTTACTTGTGGCGAAGCTCAAGTCGGGTTAACTGGCTATTTACTTGCTGGAGCCTGGGGTCCAAGTTGTCTTGGCCGGTAGGGCTGAATCCCGGGATACCTTAAGGTACTTTAGGTAGCCTGATCGGGAACGGCCCGCGTCCGACCAATCATTTGACATCTAAGAGACCCTCGAGACCAGGGCTTTGTTCTTTATCATTGCCTCGATCATCGCTCCTTTCATCAATATATACAAGTCAATATACACACAATATATACCCATTATGCACCGCAGAACCCTCCATTGGTTACACTAGTAGTGTAATGACTCCCATGACCATACGCAGAATCCCAAAAGAACAATCCCTAATCTTCTTTCCACCCTGCTGCTTCCCCCTGTGAATGCCACAACGCTCGACCCATTGCCAGCTCCCACGGTCGCTCCAGGCTCGCCACCGCTGCCAAAAGCACTCATGATCAATCCACCCAATCCCGCCTCAGTTGTCTGCGCGCTCGTCAACGGGATCGTCTTCGACCCAACCTGTACCCCCGAAGGTCCCAGCGAGACCACAGTTCCATCAAGCGTCGCTGCAGTCCCATCGAGCGTCGCTGCAGTCCCATCGAGCGTCACGCTCTGTCCACCAACGGCAAATCCAGTCGGTGCAGCGGTAAAGATCTGACCACCTACCGTGAAGACTGATTGCAGAGCGGTTTGTGTGGGGAAAGGGACAGGTTGACCGTCTACGACGAGCACACTGTCATCGGACGGAATGGCGTACGTAGTCCCAGATATTGTTGCTGCGTTTCCGCCTGGGGTGAGAATGGCACCGTTGGCAAGGGTGATCGGTACGTTAGATTGCGGGCGTGGGGATTGCAGGATTGCTCCAGCGCTGCTTGGAAGAGCGTAAGATGTGCCGTCGACAACGATGGTAGAAGACCCGACCGATATGGCATGGCCATCAATGTCACTTTGACTTCCAAGGCTGATGGCACCACTTTTGAATATCGCGCCGCCATTGGGCGCTCTGCTGACAGATTGGCTGTCGATGAAGACTGTATCAGCCGTGCCAGGGGTTGGAATGGCATATGGATTCCCCCCCACGACAACACTATCGGACCCCACGAACAGAAATTTGCCCGAAATCTGCGCCTGACTGCCAGGCGGGTATGTGGATGTACCTATAATCACACCCCCGTTTGCAGCTTTGACCATCAACTGTCCGCCAACAAGGACAGGTGTCGAAGTCGGAAGTGCATGTGTGCTACTGCCTATTACAATCTTGTCTACCCCAACCGAAATTGGCATATTGGAAATCTGCCCTTCATAGCCTGCTGTATATGTTGATTTTCCAATGGCAGCTCCACCGTTCAAGGCTTTTTCGATGGTACTGCCGCCAACAATCAGTGGGGTTGGCGAGGCAAGCACTACTGAAATGAATGGCAAAGGCAACTCAGCGACCCTCAGAGAACTTTGGGGACTGTGACTTGAGTCTGGCGGATCGAAGTTCAAACTTGGGGCTCCCGCTCCATTGTTATTTTTGTTGTTGTCGCCACCACTGCCACCGCCAGGCGGAGAATTGTTGGAGGCTCCAGGTGAACTTTGATTTGGCGGAGATTTTTGGGAGTTGTCTTGTTGGTCTACTGGACCGGAATCTTGGCTTGGCTTTGGGGCTGGCGTTGGGCTCTCTCCAACATTGCCACCCTTTGAAGCATTATCTGCCTGGCCAACGGACCAAGCTGGATCATTGTTTCCATCCGATTGCGTTTCTTTTGATTCAGAGCCGAGATCTGCTGACGCAGTCGGAGGATTCGTTTGCAATGGTCCATTCGCAGAGCCTTTAGGAGGTGGTGTGGGCGAAGCTGGAATATGTGTCGGAGCTATCCCAGCCGCTGGAGCTGCGGTCGCTGATGGGTCCAAGTCCGGCTGTGCGGGCGTTGGAGCTACCATATTCCGCGCCGCGGTTAGTACTCGAGGGGGATCCCAGGACCCATACATGCCAGGAGTGCACGTGCTCCATGCTGGATCAATCCCTCCCAGGTCACTCGGAATTTTGAGGTTTTTTGAGTAACCCTCGTTTGCAGTGTTAGCTTCGTACTCCTGAAATTCTGTGTAATTGATGGCTTGGAACATTGAGGCTGGCTCTGGGCCTGTCTGCGCTTGCATCCACAACGGACCAACATAAGTTGAGAGCGCATCTGATGGATAGGCAATTGTGGTATCGTAAATAGCACCTGTCGTGAAGCTCGAGAAGTAGCCGCAGTCGTAATGGGCATTCAGACCGTGATAGGCTACATAGACCGAAGGAGAGATGCTGTAGAACCGTTAGAAGATGCTGAAAGATGATCAGGGTGGAACTTGCAATGTGAAGTTGCCGGCAACAGTACTGTAGTGACTCGACACTGGTGCAGCAGTAACAGATGAATTCATAGTATTAAGATCCACATGCCAGTATATTATTTGGACGCTGGAAGCATAAATTTCGCAAGTCTTCGAGCAGCACTCCGTTGGGGGTTCGTACAACTTTTCTGTGATGGTGGACATCATAAAGGTGTCCGTCCAAACCGAACCACTGTCGGGGGCAGTCCCAGTCGTGGTCACTGTCTGCAATTCCGCAAGAGCATTATATAATTTTGAACATGAGCAGAATGTTGAGGCAACGGTTCCAGGAGCGTAGCATGGGCCTGAAGCCCAAGGGTTCACCCAAGCGCTCGTCTGTGAATACAGAGCGTGAGTTGAATTGGCTATGTAAGTCGTGTTTGTAGGGAATGGCTTCGTCATCGCTAAGACGCACGAAATCGGTCAGCATGTAGATCTCGAAAACTTTGTACGCCTCGAACATATCGGCATGCAAATGACACCAGAAAAGAAATTCTCGTAAACAAGGCCGGGCAATGAAGAGAAACAGCCAGCCGCCTTTGTGTCCATTAAAGAAGAAGAACACCAATAATCTGATCGCAGCGGGCATTTCAGATCCGATAGGTTCACGGCGCATGTTTTGAGATATCAAAAAGGGTCAACCAACCTGAGGTAAAGCCCACTTGGATGGTTATGAGTGAGAAAAGCACCAAGCGCAAACTCCAAAGGAAAGCCATTACACCAACTCAGAGCCCGACCGACCGAGAGCACAGAGGACATGGTAGAAGAGAAAGAAGAGCGACGAAGGAAGAAGAGCTGAGAGATTGCAGAGCTAGCTGGTCAAAGAAGGACCCGATATTGCGAGATCCCAGCGTACCTCGGTAGTAGCAGTACAGCAGGCAGTGAGGCAAAGCGGCGCGTACTATTTATACTATACACCAAAATCCTTCTGTGCGCTAAGGAGTAGTCTAGTATCGCCATCCTGACCAATGGGATTTTCTCTGAGTAAAACATCTTGGTTCTGACGCGTTGTGTAGGAAACTTTGTGACCTTGACTGTGGTAGGAAGATGGGATGAGAAGGAGGTTGATTCTAGGTCTCCAATATCCGAAATGCCAAGGATATCAACGATATGATTGATTGGTCAATATTATCTGACAAGATCGCTTCGGACTAGCGCGCGGCCTCGCTAAAGACTGGTAAATTTGGGAGCCACATGCTCCATCCTTCCTCGATATCTACGATGTGATTCATACCATTATCCCAAAGCGATGGTGTAGTCTTTGACTTCATCAGGTGCATAGTTGTGGAGATAGAGTTGGACGGACCCATCTACGTCATCGAAGAAGACCGCGTGAATGAATGCAAGCGATTGTTCGATGAGAGAAGGAGTTCTGGAAAAGGGAAGGATCATGAAGGAGTTCATAGATGGATCCGATGCACCGCCACTGAATTCGTGCCATTCCACGAACACGCTTCAAGAATCAATTGCTGGTCGTGGAGTGTTCTGGCCATGACATTCCAGAAGCCAAGGTCATTATCGTTGTTTCATACCTAGACGTATCATGGCATGCTGCCTGGAAATCATCGATTATTACGTCCAGTTACCACAACAGCTGCTGCCTACTCAAGGCGGGCGAGAGCAGGTAAATGGGGCCAGCGCCGCTCGAGCATGGCAACGTCACAACAAAACCTGCCAGCCTAGCGCCCCAACTAGCCCAACCACACTCCAGCCAACCAACCTCTTCACCACGGCAGCCGCACCTCCAGTAAAGACAGTCGGCGCAGGCGTGCTAGCCGTAGCGACATACGACGCATTGGACACGTTATTCCCGATGCCGCCGACGGGGTTACAGAGGGTGTATGAGAGATCCGAGGTGACTATCCCGGCAAAGGATTAGTACTTGGGGATCGATGTAGCTTACTCGAGCCGAAAGGAACAGAAGAAATAGGAGTTCATCATACTTTGAAAGTCAGAGGCACTGCACGTCTTTAATTCACAGGAATTGAGGTCGCTAAGGCTCGACGACTTGCAGATGCAGGTCTGATTTGAAAGGCTGCCGCAGCCGGAAGAGGGAATGGATGTATTTTGGCATTTTTGCTGATTGGTGATCGTTGTCAGTTCCTTGGATCTAATTCTGCTAAAGCTGGCTACATTTTGTTAGCACGGACGAGAGGCAGGATGACTTACGGCACATAGCGGGTAGCTTTCACTCTTCGTCGGGTCCTTGGACGCAACAGCTGCGGCGACAGACGTCGCTGATGCAATGGCTGACGAGACCGCCGAACCGAGAGAGGGCATGTTGTGGTAGACGGGACCGCAGAGTTCTTGGGCTAGGAGAGATGTGGCTGTTGGCTTGGAATCAGTAATACTACTACATGGAATGGCACGGCGAAAGTTTGATCCGGGGGTTCCTTACTCGCCCTATCTCCAGCACTACAGCTAATTTCCTCGCAAGCTGCTGTTATACTACGATACACAGTCCCGCAAGCACAGTCGACGTTGCTGGTATCGCAACCGGCATTGATGACGCTTTCATTCGCGCAGGTTTGCTATTCCCATTTTTAGCGGCCGCACTGTGAAGGCAACAAGAGAGAGGTGAATAAAGAGGAAGTATGGGAATCATCCTATTATACACTTACAGCACACAGCGGATAAGTCAAGATGTTGGTTGGATTCCCAAAATTAGGCTGCGGAGTAGCAGTCGCCAGGACGGCACTCACAGCTGTGCTCGCCGTGGCATCAGCTGGGTATGTCGGCAAGCCAGATGCCGTCAGTGAGGCAGTGACATAATAGGAGCTTATGGCTGATAAGACGCTTGCAGGTTGGCCGCCAACAGGGGCGCAGAGGGGGATGCTTAGGTTCTCAATCTCTGGAGATAATTATCAGTGATTGAGGCTTTTGATTCAGCTGAGATGGAGCTTGATTACGCTTGAGCTCGTCGGTGCTGCATGAAGTTCTTTCGCAGCCGGCAATCGAGACGCTGAAGGTTGGATTTTGGCAGATGCAGGTTAAGTTTGAGAGGCTGTTGCAGGAAGCTGGGGCTGTGAGGCCGAGGGGGATGCATTTTTGCTGTTCGCAAGGGTATTTTAGTTGACACATGATAGTCAGGTCGGGGATGAATCTTGCTGACAGCACATGGGGGCCAATTGGCGAGGTTGGTAGGGTCACCGGTGATGTTTGTGGCTTTGACTGCGGCGACGGACAAAGCGATCAGCAAGAAGGCGGAGACTAAAGGCATCATGTTGCATTTGTGTGGCTATGGTTGATGTAAGTAGAGATACCCTGTAGGAAGATGATGCTATACAAGGACAACTATATGAACGATCACATTGTCCTGGACGTGCCATCGCAGCTATTTGTGCTTTTCCACCCTTGCTCCTAGGTGGTGACTTTGGTGACGTCCAAAGTCCAAACATGTACCCCGCAGTCAATTTGTACTCATACTTTTCGCTATTCATGCAGATTTGGTGTTCAGGATACCGTCAAGCTTTTTGGGACAGCCAACCATTTTAGAGCGCTTGCACGGAGGAGCTCGTACCGCTCAGGAAGCTAGCTGAGCTACGCTGACTGCCTAGATGACTCAAGGAAATGTCATACGTCGCGCATGCTATGGCAATCCCCGATCGCGATCCTAGGAATTGCAAGTCAAATTCGCATATAGAGGCCGTCCTAACGAACTCCAATCTCTACCACTTACACGCGCCACATATCGACTCCTCCTCGCAGACACTGACGCCTCACTCCATGCAGGGCAATTACCTCGGGTTGGGAAGTTCAGCATTAGGGCGTGGGAGATGTGGCAGGTGAGTGCTGCGTGGTGGTAGAGATCGAGTCTGCCTCGATGGTGGGCTGTGAGCTCGAGGTGGAATCGAGTAGAAGACACGTGTTCGTAAGGAAGTGCAAAATGTCCAGAGCTTGGGCAACGTTTGGCGAGGGTCTGAAACGTAATCCACGACTGCCTACACATTAGTTTCGTGGCCATGGAGCCCAAGAGGGAGAGGGTACAACATCCCGATTGATATTCGCCCGGGAACAAGCAGAGGGGCTAAGATCTTACACAACGAATTTTCCCAAGGCCTCCTTCCTTCGCGAGCCGAACTTTGTCATGGGAACATGGCTTACTCTTACGTTCAGAGAATATTCGTGGGGAGATAATCCATCATGGAAGAACGCCTCCGTGGAGACTATTGCCATACGTGTATCATGGCAGCCGCATCCCGGCGTGGCTAGGCTAGGCAAGAACTACGAATAGCTAAAGCGTTCAATGCTACGCTTTTTACCAGCTAAATCCTTCTCGGTCCATGTCTAAGAAAGATTACTATGGTCGCTACTATCAGGGAGAATCTTCCAATACATTATGCATTTTGAATTGTGCCTCGATGATCTCGTATTTCCAGGCTCTGTCATTCTGCATGTGATGATCAGGTAAGAGAAAGTGGCAAAGTCATGCATGGAGAGACTCTCAATTCACAATAGGAGAAATCTCTCTCTCTTTTCATTTACGCATTAACTTTTTGTAGGTATCAATTCAAACGAGATAACTCTTTTTGTTGGAGGATATTGAATAGGTAGGATTAAACGTACCAAGAAAGTTCCTTACAGATCGAATAACGAGTTTTTAGGAAGGGTCCGTGGAAATTATCGCTTTTTTATGATACTGCGTCCGAACTGTGGGGCTTCTGTAAATCTATAGAGGGCTTTTGCCGTAGGTGTATGACAGTTTTGAGGGGAATTTGGCGAAAACCATCACGTTTTTGGGGCGCTGCTCAGGACTTCTATAGTCTCATCAAAGGTTTTCGCCCTTTATGCACGACGTTTGCTATATTATCTTACCGCCAAGCCAGAATCCAGAACTGGGACCAACGCTGATAACAAGTTGACAAACAACGTAAACGCAACACACGGAAGGAACAAAATCACATGTCAACATCGCGCAACACTCCGTTGAAGCATCCACCTCATACCGCGTTGCTTCACAAGTTCTCGGTACTTAAAAGCCGAATACCCCCAAAGACTAAACCTGTAATCTCAAAGCCATCACCTTCAGGCTTCACTTCCACTAACACATCCTTTATTTTTACACTGGTACACTCCAAGATGGCGGCTTTGTTACCGCGATTGAACTCCTTGAAATGTGCTGGCGGCTACTACAATCGAAGCGCCCTCGGGCCCATGGAACCAGATATTGCCATCATCATCATCATGAAGTCGCTCGCGATGAAACCCCTTGCTTCCGAGCTGCCAGCCAGTCTGAACCTCAACGGGCTTGAAGTCGGATCTTTGTTCAAGGTGGCTTCAACAAGCTATACCCCATCTCGTATTCTGGATACTCTAAGAGTTATCTGCTCCGTGAGGCTCTACCGTCTCGTACCGTACTACAGGGTTGAAAGTGAAGCAGCGGTCCTGTCTTACCTTATGAAAAATGTGAGCAATCCCGTTGCCTGTGTCATTGCTTGGGATTTATCAGCGGTGATCGGCCTGGGGTTCGAGTGGGCACTTCTGGAAAAGATAGAAGTTGTCACTCTTTACGATGTATGGCGGAAAGCGCCGTGGGACCAAAACTCGAGATTGTCACCGCGCTCGCAGCGCTCCTAGGGCAGTTGCGAGATTACAAATTCGACCGCGTCGGCAACCTCTACTTCAAGGGTCGTGAAAGACGTCCAGATCCTGAAAAGCAGTCTAAAGCTGCCTCACTAGCCCATAGTCTTTCGAGTCGATAGCCTATAAATTGCCTCAAGAAGCAACCATGAAAAACACGGTGATTAACATGAGCGACTAGCTAGCGAAGGCACAGTTGTGGAGCTAGCCGACGTAGTCGCCCTAAAGCAACATTCGCCTCCGGAATTAGACATGGGAACTCTGAGCACTACATCGGCAAACGATGTTAATCACACCCAAACGAAAATCTTTGCTGAGAAGTCAGAAGACTCCACGACAGGAGAATGGTGCGAACAGAATCGCTATATCGTTGGCCCGCTGCTTGACCCACTCTTCTTTCTCTATCGTCACCAATACTTGCCTGGGAACAGAGGGCCATTCAGAACTTCACGTGAGTGGATGGCAGTGGCTTCAAATGAGCTGGGTCAAGACTGGTCCCATGTTTAAGGCATCGACGAATCACGCAGATTTCGACGATGACGACTGGGGCAGTGACTGCGATGGAGAAGATCCAGACATGGAAAAGTTATCTAGCGACTATCAAGACGTGCTACCTTGGGTCTTCCCAGCTGCCAAAAACGTTTCTCCCTACGTTCTGTATCATCACAATATGAGCCTCGCAAAGATCTCAGTTAATCCCCACACTTACGAAATTACAGGTATCATAAATTGGGAGACGATTCAAGTAGTACCGGAACGGAAGAGTTCCAGGTTCCCGGAATTCCTCACAGATCAGAAAGATTTCGAGGAGATCGACGATGATGAGCCCAGAGTTCTTACGCCGGCCGAGTATGATGAGGACGGTGATGACTACAACGCTACGGTGGTGGAACGTAAGGATCGATGGGACAACGGGATCTTGAGGCAACATTACGACGTTGCCTTCAAGCTTGGTTGCCTTACGTCGTACGAGGAGTGAAAAGCAGCTCTCTGGCTATAACAGCGACATTGCCAGGACGAAGCGCAATTTCGAGGAGATGACCATGGAAACCACGGAACATTCAAGTACTGCGAGAGGATGGCTCGAGCTGTACTCGAATAAAAAAGTGGTGGCTACCGAAGGTGACCTAGAGATTTGGTACAGTTCGCCTTCTATCAGACTTCCATGAGCGTTGCATGAGTATGTCCGGTAACGTACGGGTTCATAATGGATGTTTCTTATCCTTTTGTACAGAAGAGCAATGGGGCAAATCGCGACAGAATGAGCTCTTGCACCTCGTATTAATCAGAGGGGTCTGATTGGGTTTCTAAAATATGGAGCTACTTGTAACGTCGTAAGTTTCCTTTATGATTATCCTGCTCTGCTGTTACTATGTTGCAATCTTACCTACAGTGTAGGTACTCCTGTTGCGTTAATGGTAAAGCCATCACCAGATGTGCCAGGTCGCAATCGCATAGACGACATTTTCGAGGGAATCGCACTTCGAATAGCCTGAAATTGACTCAGATTTCAGTACCCCAAAGCTTCAAACGTTCTTTGAATTCCCCACGCCAACGGCTCTAGTCAAGACACCATACTCCGTTAGGGGCTCGGGACTTATGCGAACGTAAAAGACCCGAATTCTTCACGGTCGGTGAATATGGAGTACATCGCCGTATTTGTCTGGGGCTCGCACGTGTTGAAAATCCGGAAGACAATCAACTCATCTGCAATAACCAGACGACATTTGCCTTCTACGACAAGACACCCAATCTCAGGACACAAAGGCATTGATCTCAGAATGACAATTTTCTATTCACGGACGACTAGACAAAGGGCTCCCAACTATGGGCAACAGTTAGAACAATGACCAAGGCCCTGGGTCATTGTGCGCATTCTCGCACATTCTCGCTCTTTGTTGCACCGCAAAGCATACATATAATCCATGCCCGAGCCATTTTTACTGCAACACACCCTCAACATCCGATCCATCTGCAATCAACGCGTGCCTGACATAATATTTCGGGTATCGCAAATCACTCGGTCGCAGCAATGGACTACACACAGAAGTGGTCAGACCTGGAGGGGTGCATCAAGAAGTCTGTTATGACTGAGGAGGAAGAAAAGAAACAAAAAGAGCGCAAAGCCCACCAGCTTCGAATTATGGTTGAGCGCGCTGACACAGCGCTTGAAGGGAACAAACGGCTGTTGGAAAAGCGGCGGGGCGAAATGGAGATTTGGGAGTCCAGCGACAAAAACTGGAGTTTGTACCTGAGAGATCGGAAGAACACTCTTAAGGGTTTGAAGCTTGAGAATCCGAATACACGGGAAAAATCCTTTTCCACATAGATGGGCTCGGCGACTCATGAGGATTAGGAACTTCCTCAGTTTGGGGTGGAAATGAGACGTGGGAACGACCTCATCTTACTACGGACAGAAGAAATCTCGGAAGTCGCTAAGACTAGGCCTCAAAGCGAGTAAGACGTCGATACAGCATACGGGCGTCACGAAAGTGGAAAGCGTCGTTAGCATGCCTTTTGAAGAGACCTCAAAGTTCGCTCTCCCGCATTTTCTCCATCTCTCAATCGTAATTCTTACCAAATATACTCAAAATTCATCCACCTGACGAGCCGGTTGCCCATCTTAGCATCGCAACCTGGTAGGAGCACCCCTAGTCATCGATTACATAAACAAGCCCAATCTTGAGACACAATGCATTGAGTTCTGAAAGGGATGCTAGCCCACAGAGGGCCAGACATTGTATGGTCTCCCATGTGTAACACTTTTGCGAACACTTTGCGAACACTGGCAAAGTCTGGGTTCATTGTGCGTGAAATTCTCGCGTCTTCGGGTTCATTGTTGCGTCCAGGGAAACGAATAAGAACCCTGCGTCAACAGTGGTTGGTTCCTATCGACTATACACTCCCGGATCTTCCAAATCGCACCAAAAGCTCCTCCTGTTTTACGTTCTCTGACGTTCTCTGATTTTTCCAACCCACGATAGTACTAAAACCTATCAGCCACTACAGCAGAGCTACGACACCAAAGAGAGGCTCCTTACGACTCAGTAAAACGCAACGGTATGACTGCTGCTTCGTTTACCGCAGCTACCGCTGACGCCATCGAGTCTCTAAGTGAGGAAGACCTGAAAGCCGTCCTATCCTTAATCAATACCCAAGCGGGCATCAATCTGACTATGGACGATATCGAGGCTGCTTTGACCTTGGTCGAAATCAGTGCTCCCGGTACCGACAAGCCTGCTGCATCTATCCGCAAGTCGAAAAAGACTCCAGCTCACGAGAAATATCAAGCCAGTGGGGCTGACAGCCAGCGACAGGAGAGAAGAAAATACTTGGCTGCGTATCAGCACCAATGGCGGGCAAAGCAGCCAAAAGGTCACCGAAAAGCCGAGTATCGAAAGTATCTGGCCAAGGAAACCGATAGCCACCGAGAAGAGAGGCTTCGAAGGAGGAAGGAGAAGAGGAGAGCGAAGAAGGAGGAAGCAGAATGGGCGCAGTAGTGGAAACGCGGTTACAAAAGGACTACCATTGCGGGTTCTCGGAGTACTTTGGAGATGGATCATATACTTTTTGCTTTTTGCTTCCCGGCAATGATTGCAGGGGATTTGATTCTCTGTCTCTGCTGACAGTTGCGTGCAAGCAGCGTACTATTACAATCTGTTAGCCGCACTTTCGTATCAAAGTCGCCAGCATGAGACATTACCCGAACTTTTCCCCTTTCCTGCATGAATGGGGCATGCAGCATCGTCATGCGTTACGTGCATGTAGGATATGTCTCGCTTGAAAATTCACTCCCAACACGAATCTATCAACACTTGAGTAATAGCATCCCCTTTCCGGATACTTCCGACATGCCATCTTCCTTGAATGCTTCACACCAGTCCCAACGCTAAACAAATTACAACGTCTTCATCCTCTGCGAGTTAAATGCTTCATGTTGCAACATCAGCTGCCACAGCAGGTGGACAACACGGCAACGAGATGCATCCACCGCAGGCTCGAAGCTTCCCTGCACCTACACCATTCGGCACGCTCATCATCATACCTATCGAACTACGCCTCAAAATCTACCGCCTCCTCATAGAGCGAGGCCAATCGGCCGTCCTCCGCACTTCTCGAGCCACTAACGAGGAAGCGTTCGACAAGTCCTGCGAACATGCTGTTTGCCGTCTCGCATTCAACTGCTACTTGCCATTTGATATCTGTCCGAGCCGAGTGCCTTGGGGTATCATACAAAATCTTGAGCTCCGGGTACAAACCGTCAAATACCACGATACTTCTTGTATCGGTTATTTGAACACATGGCTGCCGCGCTTTAGCGCATCCATGACAAACCTGAAGACATGCAAGATTCGCCTTGACTTTGGACCTGCCTACCATTACGAACCAGAGATTATCACGGCCATCAAAACCCTCGTGGCCCTGCAGAAGATGACGCTGGCGATCGCTGTGAACGCTGACCAGGACGCCCACAATGATGACGGCCTTCACGGATCAATCATAGCCGGATCGGGACCGTGATATGTACCTAGACATGCACTGTGAGATTGATGAGGATGATATTTTGGGGTACGAATGGGCTGCAGGCGTATTGGAGCAGACGTTGGGCAGTGCAGTGTGGTGTGAAGACGAGAACGGCATGCACCTCAAGTTTCATCCACAACAGAGCGCGGTGCTTGTCAACTTGAAAAAAATAGGATGAGAAGACGGAAAAAGAGGACAAGGAGTAGTCGTCTTATCAGCACTACCAGTCTTCCGAGTCCATGACCTGACTGTGGCCTCATCCAGCATATTGAAATTGGTGATATTAGTACACGATTCGAGCTGAAGAACGAAGGCTTCGTTCGAGGAGAGTGAGGATTTGTTAGCAAGAGCTTGATGTCAATGATTCGAGGATCAAATCCGTGGATGACAAAACTTCGTACCTTTCTACGAAAAGCTGATTGTCTAGTGACCATTCAACCTTTCGTATTGAGCCTTTCTACAAGGACAGATGTGGAGAAACCTACCATACTAAGTGAGTCCTGTTCTGCTTTGAACGTCCCCGTTTGTCGTGAGCTTCCCGGAGCATTCCTGAACCGTATCAACAACTCCAGCGTTCATTGCTAGGTAATACAAAGTCTTTGCACGGCACTCATCCATCTGAGCCATTCGTTTCTTGCGAGCTCGCATGAAAAGGGTTTGTCTCGTTGCACCGTAGTATTCTGAGATTGGCCTCACCTTTTCCACTGCGTAACGTAGTGGGCGCTGCCGTTACCACTACGTTACGTTGATGCGCTGCTAACTTGCTAACAACCAGATTGGGCCTTCAATGCGATAGACATCAGCGTTCTTCTGATAGACCTATATTGTTGACTGATTCAACTAGGACCCATATTCAGACCCGTCCTCTGCACTGGACCTGTCTGGCGTATAATTTGATTGCATTGAACCTCATAATTCGTGTAATCTAGCAACTGTGTCCTGGTGTGACTATCTGATAATTTCCGCCTCTACAATGGATTGCGTTTGCCCGTCCTATTCCGATTCTGATTTCGCAAAGCATTCCAAATACTAGACGCGATTGCCTTATTCCATACCCATCTGCCATAGACTTTACAGCCTGCTTCTTGGCTTGCCTCGACGTCAGTCTCTGTTTCGCATCATGGAGTGGCAAGCATACCTGTGAAGACCCAGTGACGAGAAATATGGCTGCCAACTGTTTCTGAACCCTGTCGCCACGGATCACGTTATGCTTCTGCTTTACGTGAGCCATGAATACCAAGCCATAGCAGAAGGGCGTACTTACCCTCAAGCAATGGAACCAGGTGTTTCGATACTCGTCGTGCCCACCGAACTCGAGGTAAACATCTCCGTGGTTCTCAAAGAGGTGCATCTAAGGTATGCATTAGCTCGGATGAAGTCCAGATCTCCACACAAGCAGCTCTGATGTCCAGAAGTACATACCAGCTCTGGACGCACGCTGTTCCAGTCCACGAGGTCTCGGCACTGGGAGAATCGAGGCGTCGCGTAGATGATCTGGACAGGTGGGTAACTTGCAAGAGCTCGCCGGGCGTCGAGGATCTTTGGAGCTCCAATCGCAGACTCGAAGAGCTCCGCTAACTGCCAGATGATATCCTCCTCCCATCCTTCGTAGTAAGGAGTTCGGAACATGCTCACTTTCTTTCAAGGTTTACGGAAGCCTGGGGGTAGAGATATATTCGAAATAGATGATGTTGATGAGTGAACGTTATTTTGCAGGAGCAGTGAGAAGATAGACTCTGAAAGTGATACAAGGAAGTGACGAGTTGAGGTATTAAAGTTTGCGGAGCACAATGTGAGTCTGTGAAGGTCGAAAATAATTTTGCGAGAATATGAGTGAATAATGAAGCAAAAGAGAGAAACGAATTAGCTAAGAGGCCAAGCCCAGACTACGAGTGGGCTTGACTATCGCCAGAAGCCGCGAACGCCAACCATTGTTATATGTATATGGTAACATTGTGAAATCGTCCCACTAAAGGAGTCAAATATATGAGATTTCCTGCCATTCTCCCAGCAAAAACTTGATAACAATGGTACCTGTACTTCGCTGGCAATGAAGCAGGTTTGGAACGCGATTGACCGCTCATGTGGGCGGCAAACGAGATTGACAGTAATAGCGCTGTGGCAGGTACTGAACAATGCCTAACGAAATAAGACGGGCAATTGATTTGTGTACTGCGGTACAAAACTACAGGCGTTTCGTTAGATCAATGGCTGACGACCACGGAGTCAAAACTCTTGGAGAAGGATGCCTGATCTATAATGGGGTTCCTACGACTCACAATACCATGTATCAGCTTTGACTCCTCATCATCTGCTCGCACTCATGTACGTGGTTACCTAGGAAGGTGTCGATTACCCTTGTTCTCATCCTCATAGATCCATAGCTCTTTAGCTCTCTGATACAGAGACTGATGCCGGGAGCATTGCATCAGGATCGCAGTCTGGCCTCGTACTTAGCCTGCCGAAGCCCACACTTACTCCATCAACCTCAATTCTAATATTGACCTCGCCGAAGCGACCCTTCTCCAGCATGTAGGTCGGAATCCGTGCAATCGCTCTAATCAGCCACGCATACTCCATGAATGGTGGGCTAGTACGCAAGGGTATTGCAGGCACAATGCAGATGAAACCTTTGAAGCCTTCGAGACCTATGATCAAACCAGCCACCTGGTGAGTGCTGGGGAACTGCGCCATGTCGGTCAATCCACTCATGATCGGGACGAAGACGTCGTAGACGCCGAGGGTGTCGCCGTAAGGAGTGATGGTCACATTCAGGCGCGCTTCGGCTGGATCATTTGCGTTGTCCATGGTGACGATATTCGTGATGCTGATGGGCTCTAGTCCGATTGTGCGGTCCGTACTTAGCAAAGTCGCTGATATATTCCCCACATCTAGAGTCCCGTTGACCTGCCTTTTTTCTGTTGTTAAGCTTGCACTGGTTGGATGGTTGACGACTTGCACCCATCCAAGCACTTGTCTCTCCCACGACATCTCAAATTGCGCAAACTCGAACTTCCTCTTCAAAATCATGTCGTAGACTCCTAGGCAGGCAGCCCACAACACGAAGCGCACTTGTACGTTGCGTTTGCGCTTGGGAGTTGTGATAATAATCCTTACTTCTGGATAGTCGTCAAGCTCGTATTCTGTCCCGTCAATAATCTTGTCGTCCCAGTCTCTAAGTGCTAGTTCCTTTAGCGCGGCTACGGTGTTCACTAGACATGACGTTATGCGAAGCTTGGGCCCTCCTATCTCGTACGTCAGGCCAAAGCTTTGCGGTGGTATAGGGATGCCGAGCGTAGAATTGCTCATTCCAGCCGTTGGAGCGATGGGAGTGGAGGAATCACTGCCTAGGGTGAGAGCAGTTGCGGCTGTTAGAGCTCGGCTAAATGATAGAGTAGACAGGGCGAGGAAACAAACAAACGATATCTTCATGACAAGCGAGGCTTCCACTGACAGTCCAGCTGGAGAATAGCAGTCTGCAGAATCTCATCTTCGTCTGGCGGATGTTTTGAAGGTCGAGATAGCGGATGGACAATTGAACTATGTCGAAACGCAAGCGATATGCGAAATATGCGCTTCTGTTTCGTGTTTATCCCTCACGATCGATGAGGGGGTACAAATGCTGAGCAATCAGATCAAATCATTTTCTTCTACCCCAGACTTGCGGGTTGTCTGCTGAACAATACCCGCTACAATCGCATTCTCTTTCTGAGCGTGGACCTCCTGCAAGAGAATCAGCCAGCTTCTACGATCCAGGCTACTCACATCTAACCCCGGCCGAGCACTCTGCCAGGCAGTGACAAGCATACTCTTCCTAATCCACCCATGATCCCTCCCGTCTAAAAGAGCCCTCACGCGGCCCATGTTCTACCTATGCGTTGGCTATTTCCCATCTAAATTCAGGAGCATGAGACTGGGATAATTATCTAGTGCTAGCAGTGCTTGATTGAGGCATAAACCATAGTACACCGCCTTGCCGCCACCAAGAGCGAGAGCGGCGCTGACGATAAAGGGAAGGCCTTTTGTGCCGAAGAATGAATGGCTTTTAGTACGAGAGGAAATTCCCCCGAATGATAGACCTACCTCCCGCGCCAAGAACGGCGGTCGTCATACCGCCTACGGCCTACATTTAATGAGTTTGTGACACTTTTCTTGCCAGGGGCAAAGGAGACCTACACTGCGTTACATCATACGTCAGTACCGTTTTGATGTTGCTTGACAAATCTGAGTAGTCATGGGAAGAAAGTAACAAACCGGTAGCACTAACAATGGCCATTGCACGTAGCATGCTGATTCGGACGGCCATCGTTCCTGCTCGGAGACTGATTCCTCAGAGATTTACTCACAATATCCCGGGACCACTTGAAAAGTGGGTCAGTCAGTGGGCCTACCGCATACAGGCCTTGTCATACCCGACATTGTCCAAGCCCCGAGGCCCCCTGAAAAGCGTTGAAATACAACATACCGAGGGGCGAATTCTCTCCAATATCTTTTTGAGGTTTCGTATAGTGTGTTGAAGGAAAAACGTGCAACTGGCGGCCACAGCCGGAGAGCTTGGTCAAGAGTTACAGATCATTCTTGATGATTGGTGGAGCAGCATTGACGCAGAGAATGGTACGCTATGACGTTGCAGAAAGATGTACATCGCGACACAGCAATTGGGGGCGACTTTTGGCGTCGCGACCCCAGCCTTGTAGGGCTACTAGCTTCTCCAGATCTTGATGAGCCTGTCAGATCTTGCTTTTCTCATGCACTATCCGTGGAACGTGGTTAAAACTCGTTCGAGAGAATCGGTAGCAACTTGCTGAGCTCTATACCACATCTAAAACATCTGGCTCAAATCCTCCATGCCCTTTGACACTCAACTCCCATCTCGGTAATCTGGAATCGATGCCGCTCTTGCGCGTTTGCATGTCAATTGTATATCAAACACCTGCGTGCGCTGTCCCAACACACATTGATCCCTACAAGATCAGCCAGAGAAGGCCTCGCCCTCAAACCTATAAAATTGCCTTCAAACATGCCCTCCATGCCATTCGTTATCCGAAAATGGTTGGTAGACGCCGCGACAGGTCTGCCCCATCTGACACTCTCGATACTGCCGCAGCATCCTGCTGCAACCAATTGTATAATCCCGGAGCTTGGGTTTCCTCGGCTGCATGCCCAATAATCATGACAAACTTCGATTACCATAGAGGTCCCTGGTCCAGACTTCTTGTACTATTATCGCCCTATAATTTCCTCACAGACCTCGGAGGAAAGTTGATCATCAGTCTGCTAAAGTCCAATATCGAAGGATAGGACCCTAAATAAATCTTCTCAACTTTGCCGTCAGCCTCGCAATTTCTGGCGCCCAGCAACCACTTACTTTGGCTCTCTGGTGCTGCTCACCATTTAGACATTTCTTGTTCGCCAGCTTCTCCAGATCCTACTTCGTGGGATCGCTGTATGTGAGTGGAGTTCCCGCAGGTGTACAATGTAGGTTGTTGCTAGTGCTCAGCGTATCACCATATTTATTTGAACGAATAAGTGTAGGACACATCACCATGCCTCTATTCGCCACCCACTCCCTGAGGATATCTCTCTGTTCATTCACTCGCCCATCACCATAGCTCACGCGGCTGTAGTATGCTCGCCTCCGGACTATGTCCCTTTGGATCTGTTTTGAAGGTATCCTGATCCGTCAAGCACCATATGACGCGAATGTGATAAAAAAGTTATTGAGGTAGAAGGACTTGTTGGGTGCTTGTCAAGATAGGGTGTTGTCCAGTAAATTTGCCCTGCGGAGCCCCCCAGGATAGCGCAGGTCCAGGGATGACGAGGGAGGTGTGACGAGTGTTTGGTAGGATGTTGGGTGTAATGTCTGAAGGTAGGAGGAATGATGCTGCTTCAATTTGAGATCCAGAGCGAGCGGTAGACAGAGGACCTGGAACAATTCTATCTGGCCGATCTTGCGTCCCTTCTCAATGTGTGGCCATGTGAGATATTCCGTGTCTGTCAAACGGCTCGGTGTAGGTAATCAGCATGGCGCTTGATCGTTGCAGATATCAGTAAAGGTAGAGTGTACTCAGAGGGCGCGTCATCTGTTTTGGTGAATTGAGCTAGATGCCGAGTATCTGTAACCTTCAATGTCGCTTCGAGCTACTTTGCTTCGTCTCAGCAACGGCAAATCGATACTGTGAGTGTGCCTCAGTGTGAGAACCGAGCAATTGGAGATTTGGCGAAGGTCGTTTGAACATTAGCTGTAGATACGGCGTTCAGATATCTTACAAGGCGTTGGATCAGACAGTTCAAGGTCGGCTGTTCATCATGACTGTGGCTTCCATACTTATTTCCGCGCACGTTCCGGAAAGACCAGACAGAGAGTATCGGAAGGCCAAACTCTTCAGCCGAAGCGTAGTGTTGCTCCTAAGCAAGTCTATATCGCACGGCTTCGTCATCAGGGCTGCTTGGTATCACAGAAGATCTCCAACTAGCGTATTCAAAAACGTCTGGAATGCTTGGCACCGGAGATCTTTCACACCACACACCCAAATTCGTACTGTAGCATAGAAATCTTTCCGCAAAATCATTCAAATCAAGTAGCCACATCGCAAATAGTCGCAATCTACAAGCTATACAAACCTCAGCTATACCTTCTAAACGCATCAATAACGCTTAACTACTTGCGAAGGCTTTCAATAGAAATAAAGAAGATACTTAGCCTTCGCCTGAGTAGAAGTACTAAGGGAAACAGGCATAGCGATTAAGAGGCTAAAGAACATGTCAAGACTTCAATATAACTTCATCTTTTTCAAAGATCTCCGGTGCCAAGCATTCCAGACGTTTTTGAATACGCTAAAAGCCCTGATGACAAAGCCGTGCGACATATCTTCTGTGATACCAAGCAGCCCCACTTCCCCTGATAACCATGCAATCTTTATGAAGGAAGCTGCCCGCTCGGCTTATGATAAGTCACATCACGCAGTAAATGATACTTTTCTCCGTGTAGTGAACAACTCATGAAAAGGTCCAGTAACGGAGGCCGTCGTCGCCCAATTTTCTCTAAGGAGCCGCAATCACGTGTTAGGGTGTTCAGCCCAGATCCGAATCATGGTACCCTATAACCGCTTACGCCCTAGGATCAGCTGGCCAAGAGGCTCTCTAGTGTTTGAACATTAACACATTCACACGATGCAAAGTGAAATGAGCTGCACAACCTTCGGCTGAAACCGAAATGTGTTAAAGATAGTTTCTTCGTTTCCGCTGTCATCTGATCGTATGCTTCCCGCCTCAATCACTGGTCGGTCGTCTTGAGATGGGACTGCGCGAGATATGGACTCCTCGCAAGCAATCCAACACACGAAGACCTGCCCAGTGCCGAGCCTATCGGCTCTTGTATCTGATCAAAGCATCTGCAGAAATCCCCTCCTTGGAAATTGCGACATGGTCAAGCTCACTGCGCATCTTGGGCGATCAAAGCCAATCAAGCAGGAGCGGGATGATAGTACTCAGAACCTATCAGGCCACCATACAAATCTGCTGTGGGCCGGTTGAGACATAGAAAGTCATCTATTGGACCAAAATGCCCTTCTCATCATCCCATGACCGTGACCCTCTCGACCATTAACACAATAACATAACAGCTCACTATGAGTACGAGCAGACCCGAGATGCAGGAAAGATTGGCTTACGCTCCTACGGCTTTGCTTTCGTCCACGGATCACCAGGGCCGCTGCGAGAGTACATTGAATCTGAACGCAGGCCATGCCGGACTGCAGTCGAAAGGAATCCTTTTTGGGCCAGAAAGACCTCGTCACTCCCTAGGCGCCACGAGATCCCACCTTCCGATGCGATAGGAACCATTACTGGAACTACGTAAAACAGTGCGTCAAAACCTGGGCCCCAAGCTCAGATGATGTGATGTTGGGGCATAGCACTATGTGTTAGCGTTGTTGTGTATGTGGCCAAAGTAGCAATACTGCGGGATGTCTTTTCTGTCATGGTTCTACCTAATTGCGCGGTTCCTAACTTCATGCTAGAATCTGTCTTCCATTCTATTTATTCTTGATTCCCGATTCCAACCACAGTTGTTACCATCCAGGCACACCCTGATATTCACGCAGCCATGCCCGTCCATAGACCACGCACCCCGTACGCACCCTAGCCCTCCAGCCCGTTCGACTAAACCGTGGGACAGCCTATCCATGTACTGAAAATGAACTGCGTGATGCGACCACTCTCAACAGTCAGCATCAAAGGAGCTACGTAAGCGCCATGCAAGCATCTCGCGATGTCTTCGCCCATAACGCCCTAGGAAGGAACCTCAGCTTTGAAGAGTACGATGCTGTTATCCGCCTTGAAAACATCGTACTTGAAGTTGTCGCTCGCCGCCGGGAGTGGAGTCCTGATCTCATTATCAAAGCTTTTTGTGACCTGGATCTTGTGTTCTTTGATGGGTTTCTTCGAGGCCAGGTCTACGTCCAGTGGAAACCTGCTTCCTACTTTCCTCCGCCACTCCCACGCAGCCTGACCTTCGGCTTGACAAATCCTCTAGGCGGCGGAAAAGCTGTCATACATCTGAACGTCGATGCTATATTTGCTAGTACCCAACTGACCACTTGGAAGGAGATGTGGCGCACCATGCTGCACGAAATGTGGTCAGTAGCCTCAGGAGGGACTACCTTGGGATTACCTATGTCTTTTTTATGCTAACAAGTGGCAGCCATGCTTATGAAATCATTCGGGTTGCAAAGCCCAATAGGGAAGAAAACGCGCACGGCCTACATTTTGGCACCAAAATTTGGGCAGTACACGAAAGAGCACGGAGGGAGATACACCAGGGAGCGATGCATAGAGGCCAGGGTTTCGATGCTTATTCTTTTTCATGAACTCGATCAAGGTAGTTCTGTGGGGTTGCTCGATGCTACTACTGACGGGCGTCCCTCGGGTTCATTGGGACTGCAATTTTCTACAGAATCACTCTTTTGTCATGACAGATTCCACCCTTCCTTACCACAACAGACAAAATGGTCATTCTAAATACGGGGCAAAGTTTGACGTGCCGTTTCGTTGGCACGGCGAAAGCGTGCATGCTGAAAAATAAACAACGAGGTCTGTTTTGTGGCTGCTTGACGAATCAAACACAAATTGCTCGAATTGTCTCCTTAGCTGCGCCATCCGGCTTCTCTTCCTTCCAGACCGGTTAAGACTCCCTACCTACTTCCCCATCTACTCATTCTTCCATAGCTGGCAGTTGCCGCCTGCATCGCGGTCATTCGATTGGTTTCTCGAATATAGCAGAGACCTACTTTTCGGAGAGCTGAGACAGGCAATGGTTTTCAAACGACTGGTCTACACTGCTCAGCGAGATTAAAAGTGAGAAAGTGTTATTTGCTGAGTAATGGTGATTTGTTTCATTCATCCGTTTCACGGCATTTGGCAGCCAATGAGACTCAGGAGGCAGGTTTCGCCTGACATGGTAGCAAATCCTTGGCACTTCTGGTCTCAATTACTACGGGTTCTTCTGTGCTGCTTCTCATCTTCTCTACAAATATTAGAACTACACCTTCGCCTTTTCCGTGCTACCACGGGATCTCTACCAATACACGCCCCCTAAAAAATTCTCTCATCTTCGAATTTTAACAGCAGTACTCTACAGGGGAATCCATGGGCCACTTTTCGCGTGCTCGCGGAACGAGCAAGATAGTGGCGCATGGATCGGAGTCGTACCAATCTTCCTCTGATCCCACAAGAAGACACCGGTCTTACGGCTCTGATCGACGGCCTCCCAAGAAGGCTCACATACAAGACTCTGATCCTGCCAAACCTGTCAATAGCAGCAAGAAACCTCCAGACTTACACGGTCCACGCACTAGCTACCCATCCCAGGAACAAGATATGCTCCAGGTTGTTGAAAGAAGCGCCAAGGACCTAATCGAGGAGGCCTTCTACAAAATTACTTCAGAAACTGGGACATCCTATCCGTGCACGCAAACAGAGCTGGATGCTTCTGGAGGAGTCAACTGGTACAGGGCCTCGAGCGCACGCAATTCAAAAGACAAGAGACCATGGTTTGCTCAAGCAAACAACGGGCCGTTTTGCAATATCAGAATAGCAGCACAAGAAGTCTTTGACCATAATGATCCGACAAGAACGCCGTCGGTTGCTGAAAGTGAGGCCATCAGTCGTCTGATTACTGGGTTCAAAATGGCTGGCCAGAAATTTTGGGGCCCAGATCTAGCTATCAAGACTTTTTGTGATCTCGACGAGGTTTTTTTCTGCGGCAGGCTCAGAGGACATGTCTGCTTGACATGGCAACCCGATCGCTTCTTCGCAAAACACCTCTTAGGACACACTATTTACCTGGGGGGCGGGAAGTGTGTGATCGAGTTGAATGCCGACAACATATTCTTTCATCCTGTTTACTACTCGTATCTCAATCAGATGTTCGCTACTCTACTGCATGAGATGTGGTAAGCTTTCTGTCTTCAAGAGAGTTAACCAAGTTCACTACTGAATCACGACAGCCACGCTTACCAGCAAGTTCGAGCTCTGGACTCTGGCCCTGCAGGATGGCAGGCGGGTAAACCTGGTGGCCATGGCAAAAACTTCGGCACGATGATCCATGCTGTAAATAGAAGAGCGAAGGAGCTGCTTAACTTGAAGGGGGACGACGTGCCATACCCCCGCCACGAGTATGCCCTTGGCGACGACCCTCGTCCAGCTCCAAAGCAGTCTCCTCCCCACCAACCCTTTCCTCTGAATCCAAGCAGAGCAGCAGCCTCTCCCAAGTCTCCAAAAGGACGCTACGACGATGCGTTCAGACAAGTCTTCCGAGATTCAGGAACCAATTTTGAATGCACACAAAGTGATCTAGATGTGACCGGAGCATTAGCTCGACGAGAGTGCCCGACAGACAGCCGTGAAGGTCGCGAGGCATGTGGAAAGAAATGGTTCCCTCAACTCAACGACGGACCATTCGTCTCCCCAAGGCAAGCATGTTTGGACATATACAACCACAATACCTCGCGCAGAAAACCAGGCAATTTGGAAATGGAAGCCATTGCGCGCCTTCAAAAAGCAATAGCTGCAGGGCGTGGTGGTTCCTGGGGTCCTGATCTCATCATCAAAGCATTCTGCGACCTTGACATTGTCTTCTTCCGTGGTCGGCTTCGAGGTCACGTTTGTGTCCGCTGGCTGCCAGATTGGTCTGAACATCGGTGTACTACATGGGGCTCCACCGTATACTTGGGCGAAAGCAAGTGTGCAATAAACCTGAATGCGGACACGATCCTGTGCAAGTACAGGCAGCCGCTCGAAGGGATGTTCGCTACGATGTTGCATGAGATGTGGTGAGTACGAGGAGCTTCCCCTGAACCCGTCTTCTTGAATTTCGTGCTCGTACTGAAGGATGACAGTCGTGCGGACGCGTTAACTCAGGTCATCGAAGGAGAGATGATGAAATGTGCAAGCCATGGAAAGAATTTCGGCACAAGGTACTACGCTGTGAACAAGAGGGCCAACAAGTTATTTAATCTCTCGCTCATGGTCCATTCTGAGGTGAAGTATCCACAACACAAATACGAGAAAGGCGAGGGATATCCGTAGGACGTATAATATGATCCTCAAGGTCTACCTGATCCGGCGAAATGATGGAAAAGTGTGCGAGGGTCATGCCGCTCTACGTGGTTCCCGCTTTGACAACAGGTCACAGCATGGAGACTCCATGCTGAACGAACAGACCAACACCAGTCCTCCTCCAACGCTGTCTTTGAACAGAAAAACATGATGGCTTGACATGAGAAACTGGTTGGCGCTTTAAGTCAAGGCGCAGAGAAAGTCGGAATGAGAAACGAGACAAGGATGGTGTTCTAATTGACATAATGAGGGGAGATTCTTGACTCTACTATCTGCAGCCGCTCGACTCATGCGCTATTCTCTATTTCCCACATCCTAGCCTCAGTGCCAGACACGTCATGTCCCTAGAGCATGATAGTCGTGCCCGTTTCCAACGAATTCGCATGCCAAAAAGCAAAGGAAAATACGGCCACCTCAAACCTGCAGGGACTATCTTCGATCCCCAACTCGCGGTATACGAACATCAGCGATGCCTCCAAGCCCAGCGATCTCTGCGTACAAGGACCCACTCCGCCGGTTCCAGGTGAAATGGATTCTTCTTACGGATGCAGAAGGGTTGTGCGAGGAGGCTTCATGGGAAGGCTTCATGGGACATCTTCCAGATAAGAGGATGGAGTGCCCATACACGCCGAGATATCTAGATGCACGCGAAGGAAACTCTAGACACGTCTCTGGAAGACCGGATCCTGCAGAGCTGAGAGCCGTGTGGTTCTCTCGACGTAATAGAGGGCCATTGCTCGGCATCAAGACAGCATCGAGAGACGCAATGCTCGAGGGAAGACCCTGTCTGCTAAATAATATGAGGTGTTTTCCGAACAGTCAAGAGGGGGGTGGAGGTGCGATGTGTTGTACCCTTAGTCTTCGGGTGTGGATAGTTGAGAGAGGCATGACAGCATGAATTGGAGGGAACTTCTTCTCATCGATATTTTGCGAATATTAACGAGCGAAATGATTTTCGCGGGAATGCAGCAATAATATAGGTAGTACCAAGTGGTTGGTGGTGTTTTAAGCACTCGTGTACTGAAGATTTTGTCTCGCATTAGCAAATAGACTGTATTCTGCTCACAAAAGCTTTCATATCCCTGTTCCAGATCGCTTATTTGCGATAGGCTCATTCCATTTAGGGTTCCCCAGCATTATGCTGTACATTAGTGCTCGCAAACAGTGAGGCCATACAGAAACGACGCATGCACAAGTAGATATGCAGATATATGATTGGGCATATCCAACACTGGGGCAGCTAAGACCTTTCTGGACATGCAAATAGCCCAGAAAGGCCCCCCAGCGCTAGAAAAACTCCCATGTCTGAGCGACATGCCCTGGAGTGAAAATGAAGCTATATATAGGTGTGGGTGGGAGGGAGAACATTGATATGGCTCTGAAAGAGAACAATTCGAATGAAGAGCCCACTACTGGTGCAGTGGCCATACAAATAGTACTCGCCATGGCCACCTGTCTCCCTACTATCGCATATCGCATAATGATGGAACGGTGGATCAAACAACCACCAACGCTATGGCCTCATAATGGACCCACTAACCCACAGTCCCACTGTTGCGAATTTTCCATACAAGATTAGAGTGCCCGACAAAAAACCCTCGACTGCCCACTAATGTTCGCTGTCCCGACGCTACTGGCCCTTCCGATGATATGAGCTGGATACAATCAAAGGCTACGTTTCAAACCCAGGATACTTATGAATCACGCCTCGCTAGCCTCAATGAGGTCTCGGCTCCGTGATCCTGCGCCTGCTGCCTGAGGTTCCGCATGTGCTCAAATAGATCCTCCGTCATCACCTTCACGGAAGTCTCATTGCCTGAACGTAATCGAGGGCGTAAGGGTGGCGTAGGGAGTTCCTCGAGCGTGGTTCCGATCCAAACGAGCGATTCGATAAAAGACCTCCTGTAGCTACTCGTCTTCAGCATGCAGCAGTCCTCGCAAGAGCGGCGACCCCAATACGGTTCATCGTCAAGGCGGTCCGAGCGGCGACAAGGTGTGGTGGCGAATTCCCATATAGGCAGCACTCTTGCGCAGATGTAGCAAGGGTAATGGACGACGGGCAAAAGGTATGCGTAATCTAGTTCGGTTTTGAGGAGTTGGTTGGAGAGCTCGGTGTCAGACAGTTCGGAGCGGATCTGAGCTTTGGGGATTACATTGAGGAAAGAGGAGTGTGTGCGACGTAAACACGCCAGCGATGGATATTCATCATGATCGAGGTGGGAGATGATCTGCCATTTGAGCTCGACGGGTAATGCGAGGAGAGGCGGTAGCTTTTGTTCGACGAGTTTTGATGGAGGATCCATCCTTTGAGCTGCCAGATGGGAGAGGCTTCTCTTCTAGCTTGCGAGACTACTGGTGTCACAGAGGGTCCTTGTAGTGTTGTAGATTCGAGGAATCAGTTTCGTAGTCTCAGTAGGTACCCGAGAGAATGGGGTTCGATTTATGAGACTCTATTTAGCGTACTATGAGATCTTTGGAGAGAACACAGAGGTGTAGGAGGATGGTTCTGCTGTCCGTCAGCAGGAACTATAAATCCAGCTCTGTAGGGCTAAGTGAGTCACGCTAGTATGAGGAATGCTATATTGGGACTAGCTTCAGACTCAAAATTTGTTTGTGCTATTTTAAAATGCCTCTTTTTCCCCAACTTCTTCCCTTGTCATTGAAAATTCGCCCCTATGTCTACCATGCGCAGGATTTTCAGTAGCAGCCGTCTTTTGGGACTCGGGAATGATGACCGTGTGCCTTATATGAATACACAGCTATCTTCAATATCCTACATTCTTCCATATTATTGGGAAAAAGGTGAGGCTGCTACGACGAGCCGGACTGCTCTTGCTGACGAACAGTTTGGGAGTGACACAAATACATCAAGGGAAGTGGAGGCCATGAATGAGAGATATATATTGGTTCCTCAAATACAAGATCTTAATACGAACCGTCTCTAATTTTCGCAATCTCTCTCACTTGTGCTCTTACTGCCAGCGCACGGAACACGATTTTTCGCAATGATTCCGTCATCCGCACAGTCTTCACCGACCGCCCTTCCCGAAGATCCTCATAGCACATTCCAGCTTCATAGGATCCCGTCTAGTCTCAAAGCAACCACTGGGGGGCACAGTCAACTACTCACGGAGACGGAGGCGGAGCTCACATCGATGATACAAGGGTTATGAGGCGCACTTTACCTATTCACGAAGCGGATCATAATCCGTTTAGATAGTAGTCATCGAAGACCAGAGGGTTGAAGCGTGTGCGCTTTGCTGGACGTGGCTACGAAGCTACTCGTTTCTGGTCCTTTTCTCTCCAATCATCTTCTGCACGAATGTTCCTTTGGATCCGCAGCGGTAGCAGAGTCTGTTGTACGCGCAGCTTCCCCAATGACAATACGGCATCGCACCATCTAGGGATGGAAGTCCTAGGAGCGTAGCATAACGTTGCATCTGGAGCAAGGATAATGGGGGGGTAGTAGGAGGTAGGAATGATTCAACTCGGAGTCGAGAAGCTGGCTGCGAAGAAGGAAGGGTAGAGGCTCGGAGTGAATGATCGACTTGGGAATGATCGACTTGGGAACGATGTCCCAAAACAATGTGTGCGTCTTGCGGAGGCAAGCAAGATTTTGCAACTTGTCATGAGTGAGATACAGGACCATATGCGGCTTCAGCTCTGTAGGTTACGCTGGAAGGGGTGGTAGGCCGTCTATTTGTTTTTGACACTGAAGTTGGTGGCAATTTGTTGTTTAATACGTTAGGACTGGGCGTCTAGTACTCTTCGTGACCTCTGCTAACGCTCAGGGACAACAAATTCAGCGCTCTGAGCAAGGGTCAACGTGAATATACGGCATATTTGGAGAGCCGATGATGTGACAATGCTGAATCGACCTCTCGGAACGACGCTACTGCAGCAAGAGTTACCATTGGCGCCGACTTCTCCATCACCACTTTTTGGCATGTCGAAGTGCCTTCCGCTGCACATGTTCGGGACAATCAGGAGTACACATCTCGTTCTCACGGCCAAGAAAGAAGTGCCCGCACTGCTGACATGGTGCTCTATATCGACCACAAATAGGGACTGGGTTGTCTTTCGGGTACAATCTCTTCTCGACGCCGCATTCCGAACAGAACCTTTTCTTCATAGAAATTCCGCCTGTGCCTTTCTTTCCAGTGTTTGAGTCATCACAGGAATTATGCGCTGGTAACCACCTTGAGCATTTGAAACAAGCATAATGCGAGCGTGGAAAAGGTATACGAATAACTCGTCTCTGTCCGAATAAGCCGGCTTCGCTGCATGTCAGCTTTGGAGATGATGTGTACGAAGGATGTATGCGTGAGACGCAGGTCTGTCAAGGTTGTAGTATCGAGAAACGAGATGATTTCGAGCTTGATCTCTACAGGCAGTACTCATAGATTTGGCATGTCATGAACACCTGAAATAGAAGCCATGACAGGCGGGGAGCTTGCAGTGAGTCGTGGGATTGCCACAGTGTAGAAACAGTCGAAGTGGAGGAGGTTTGAGGTTACAAAGCGGAATCTAGGGAAGCAGCAGCGAGACCCTTACTTTGTAAGACGCAGTTTTGCGGCGAAGCTTAACACAGTACTTTCCGAGGGGATGTTGAAACGATCAGGAAGCGGTCATAAGCGAAGACGACAGCTTATCGACCGAAGATGAATCATCATTCCTACCTCTTGACAGTATAGTTGCGTCGTTCCTCCTCCGTCGCTAGAATGCAAGAATATGGTGAATCCCGATCTTCTTACCCGACTAGCGTTATTTACGTTCCTGATTCTCTATGAACAGCCCAAATTCATTGCCAGCTAGGCATTTGAGGCCAGACCAAGCGAAGGCACCACGGGGCCATACAAACAACCCGTGGTGATGTCTTCGAGCGAGCTCCAGGCCTGACACTCCCACTTTCTAGGCGAATGTATATGGTAGTAGCTTTCAATCTGTACAAAACCCTACGACACGAGACT